GGGTTATGTAGGGGTAGTGGAAAAGAAAATGGAAACTACTATTTAGGGTTTAGGGTCTAGGCTTTGACATATAGTTGTTCCCTTCACAAATCATTTGGGGGTCTGGAAAGTTTGGGGGTACCTTTTTAGCGGTCCTCATGATAAGGATTGTATTGTTTGGGGGTCTATATTTGGGTCTCCTTATTTAGAGAAACTACCATGAAGCGCATCGCTTATGTGCAAAGCTGCTTGCCGCAACACAAGCCAAGTGATGTTGAGGTGGTGAGCGAGGGGACATGACCCGCATCAATGATGCAGGTCCCTACAGGCCTCGTCGGATTTGGCTGCCATACCTGCAGGGAGGAGGGTCTAGAGAACGTTTGGAATCTTCGAAAATAGATGACAGTGGCGAGTTTCATGCTTCTTGAGTAGTGGACCTCATGCTAGTAGCCGTTTGGGATGCAGACTGGTTTTGCTCTTCTCGCGCAAGTGCAGCGGCATGCCCTACATGCACGGTTGTTGCACCTGCTGGGCAGGCCCCACATTCCGAAAGTCTGAGATCCAGCATCCGTTTCGGCCGCAGAGGGCCCGAAAATGGCAGACACCAAAAAGCCAATCATCTACTTCAAGAGCTTGGCTTTGCACTAAAAGACCATCAAACATGGGGGGTGGGGGGTTCCCAAAATTTGGGCTACCATATTGGGGGTCCCCATGATAAGGATTACAGTAATATATTAGGGTCTATAGTGGAGTTCCCCCATTAGCGGAAACTACCAAGTGTCAAAACAGGGGTTCATTATTTCAAGCAGTTCTTCATCTATCCTTTTCACATCCGCGCAATCTCCCCGCGAGGGGAAGTTGTGAGAAGTCGGGGCTTTACCGAGCAGACATCGCTACTGTTATAGGGTTATATGGGGTTATATGGTGTAATATAGGGGTTATACGTAGGGAATAATGTGCTATAGGTTTAGGGTTTAGCAGAACACTTTGGAAGTTGCAAAGCCCGAAGATCTCAGTCCGCCGAGATCTAGTTGTTTTCAGCGGCAGTCGCTGGTCTCATACTTGCACGGGATATGAGCTTGGAAGACGCCGGACGCCTGTGTGCTCAAGCCTGAGGGTGCACTTGGACCTCTTTTGTTGAAAGTCATACATCAATCAAACCAAACACTATTCCAGATCGGCAAGCAGCCAACAAGATGTCTCGCGGTGATGGCATTAAGTGTAGACTGCACCTCGGAAAGTGAAGAGAGAGAGGGAGATGAAGCAGGACGGGACGCAGCTTCGAAGCATGAGGCCACGGCGCATCAACGGATTAGTGAATGCCATCTCGCTAGGTAGGAGCCATTGAGGGTGGACGTGATTAGCCATAAGGCAAGCCCACGCAATGGAAGCGCCTTTCCACGTGGTCGGCTGCCCATGCCATATGCGGCAGCGAGCCTCACAAACTGGTCTGGGCACCCCAAGGAAGGGCAGATCTGGAAATGTGCCCAAATAATTAAGGGCCTAAACACTCACTAACGTTATGGTCCCAGGTTTCTCATAGAAGTCTGTCATAGGGTATGTACCTCAAGCAGACCTTAAACTGATATTTGCAATAGTTCAGGCCCCTGCAGTATCATCATACATCGCCCCTGCGCAGATTTACCTCATCTAACCCTCTGAGCCTACCCAGCGGGTCCTATGTAGTTCCTTTTGTGGCTTGTTATGGTTTTTTGTAAAGGATTACCTGGACACCAAAATATGTAGAATAATGGCCTTTAGGGCTGTATTCAGGGATGTTTGCCATTATTTTGCTTGGTCTTGGTGTCTAGGTATAAGATATAGCGACCCAAAGGAACTACATAGGAGGGTCTGGGTAGCTATGAGGAGACGGAACTGGATGCGACGATCCGTAGCCACTGCAATGATGCTCCTGCCTGGAGTCCAGGGACAAGCGGATATCAAGGCTCGCCCAGATTCTTCACTCCTAAGGCCTATAAACCAGAATATACCCCTAGCTTACATTCATGTGTTTCATTTCCTTTTCCATCTGATTGTCCATTCTGGGGCCTGATATCCCTATAATATTCCGGAAGAAGCAGGTCTGCCAATGCGACTTTGCAGACAACAACTGGGTGCATGAGATGACTGCCATGGTGCAGCACATTCAAGACCTCCCGAAGGCGCTACAAGACCCAGAGAGCCCTGCTACAAAGTGGATCCTCAGCCACTCATGTGAAGAGGATGCCTCCAAGTTTCCGAACACAGACACTGCTTTGGACCTTAGCCAGGGTCAAGACCTCAAGTGCCTGCCGGAGCAGACAGCGATGTCCATGGTCTGTGCACAGCAATGGATAGTCAAGCAGTCCTTAATGGGAGTTGTTAAGTGGGTGACAAAGATCAACGAGCTGCTACAGTTTGTTGCTGGCTGCATGGATGCCCACAGCCCAGTTCCCTTCCGCGCGAACGACTTTCAAACTTACTTAGAGCGATTCGCTGGTGGGGTGCCCCCACCCAATCACCCGTCCTTCGTACAGTCACTGGCTTTTCCAACGAATGCGAAGCTGAAGACTGCGGCTGAGACTGAGCTGCCGCTTTTGGAATGCCTGCCGCTGAAAGACCCTGCGTGCTTCCCGCAGCACAATGCCAATCCGCTTCTGGGGTTGATTTCAAAAGCATGTTTGTGTACCCCAGTCCCTGTCTACTCAGCCCTCGTTCTGCATGCAGACTTTGGTGGGTTGCCCAAGACAAAAAGCTCATAAGAACAGCCCTGTTTACCCCATGTTTTGGAATAGTAGGGCCGCTGCTTGAGTACTTGGAACGATATTTGGGAAGTATGTTGGTGGGTGTTCACCCTCAACCCTAAGCTTTTCTATCCCTTAGGAGGACCCCCCAAAATGCAATAGTGGTATAATAAGAATATGAGAGGACCCTATTATAATCATTATTATCCCTTATAGTCACTATTACTGGGTGGGCGAATCCACCAAAATTTTCCTAAACCTTAAACCCTGAACCCCCAGGTTCGAGAGCTGCTCGGAATGCTGCAACCTAAAGCGTGGCCCCAATGGCCAAGAGCGCTGTTGCTTACTGGTGGTTAGAGGGGTTATTTGGGGATATATGCGGGATACGTAGGGTTTATTTAAGGTTTAAGGTTACAGGCTATATAGGGATATTCCCAAAATGCTGGAGAGTTATTTTCCATTTCGCTCTCCACTACTATGGTTTATGCGGTACATTTGGGGATGGAAGGAATGGAAAAGAGAGTGGGGACTACTGTATTGTTATGTTGAAGCTAAAAGGTTTAGGAAAGACTGAAAGGGTTCCAGCGAAGATTGCCGGTGGTTTTAGACGGGATTCCAAGGGATCAATTCCTCCACTATTTGTTTTTGCAGAATTTTCCGTTCAATACTGTGGATGGAGGAAAGCTGGCAAACCCTTACCTACATTATGACCCAATAACAACAGTAGTTTGGGGGTTCTTTATTGGGGTGATTTCCCTACGGAATCCTTGTATCAGTTTCCATATGATATTCCAGGTTCTTTTCCGTTTGACTCCATGATCGCGGCATTAGCCCTATATCACCCCTATAGAGTTCCTTTTTGGGCATATTTCCCCAAACCCTAAAGCGCTAACCCTAAATTCCAAACCCGCAACCCCTAACCCTAAACCCGATTTCCCGTAACCACCGTAGCAGCCATCTTGGTAAGGTTGGCAGTCTGGCTTCGACTTCGCAAGGTGCTGCAACGACCAGATTCGGGCACTGATTGGACATGCGCTATAGTCTAAACTCCTTCAGGGGGGCTATATAGTGGATCATATAAGAGAGCATTGTAGGGGCTACTAAGGCGAGTTTAGACTATGGCTCATATAGATCTAAAAGGATATATAATTTATGGGGATACATAGGAGTTCTACAGGGATCCTATAAGGTCGTACAGAGTTCACACAGGGGGATATACCCAATATGTGTATACGTGTATATATGGGGTTGTAGGGGAGATTATGCGGTCATATTTTTATTCGGATAATGGAGAATCAAATGGAAAGGAAAATTGAACATCAAATGGACACTGGGATCGTACTGGGGTTATATTCGGATTATACAGAGACATTATCCCGAAACATGGAGAAGGACATGGAAAAGACACAGGAACATGACATGGAAACACTGTTTTTTGGATATGTAGGGTTCAGGGGTTTCTTGTTGATTGTAAGTACGGAATGAAGGAACAGATAAGAACGTTGAAACAGTTTTGTTATTGGAGATCCGCTACCCCTCATACGAAATCAAATATCGTTGATGTAGGACATCTTGCGCCACCCTCGAGCCTTGAGCTACTGAAATTCCTAGGCCCTAAACCCTAGAAATGGGGGTTTCCCAAAATTAGGGATACCATTTTGGGGGTCCATATAATAAGGACTATAGTATTTTGGGGTCTATATTGGGTCCCCTAAATTCCTAGGATAAGCGGAAAGACATTGCTGCTTTGGCTGTAAAGCGTTGGGGGGGGGGGGGCCCTAGGTTTGGCACATGTTTGGCTGCAAAAGGGCTATATGTAGCGCCCTGTGCACTAACGGAATGTCAACTTCTGAACAGACCTCCCGGACATCTGCCTCATCTACTGCCGACCCAGCCTCGAATCCTGAAAGGTACCTTTAAAGGGGGATATAGGCGTTCTGCAGGTGTTATATGGTGAGTAAATAGGGTGGTATAGGGTATAAGGGTGTAGGGCAGTATCCCAACTGCATTGCTAATGATAAACCCGCACCTAGGGCACTTAGCTACGGTGTGCTTAAACAGGTCCATTAGTTGCTTTCGCCAGGTCAGAACCTCAAAGCTTGAAATTGAAGTCCCCCATTCCTACACCCCAACACCCCCCAACCCCTTAACCCTCAAATGGGTAGTGTTTTGATTAGGTTTCAAGCACCAAAATATAATTCCCATGAAACCGCACTCTCCATGTCTTTTTTCCTTATGAGTTTCCCTGTGATTTTCCATCCAATTCTCCAATATTGTCGCGGTAAAGTTCCTAAACCCTAAACCCGTAATTCCATCCTTATATTCCCCTCTACCCTCTACCTCCCTTCGAAGAGAGCACAAGATGCAACCACAACAGATCTCTCGCATGTTAGGAAAGGCCAGGACAACCAGGAGCTCGAGGCGTCGGAAGCTGCAGCCAGCTGTCCCAACCCAGACGCAGCACTTCAGAAGATCCTGGAGGACTTTATTGTAGGGTATATGTCGCGATCATATGAGGATAATGGAAAAATGGGAACTACTACAGTATATTGGGGTTATAATACGGCTTACATTTGAGGACTTTAGGTTTAGCTGTAACCCCAAGCGTATGTAGAACGATGTCCCTTTGGGCTCTGTACAGGGTTTTTGCACCATCATTTTGCCTACCTTCGGCTTTCAAGTAGATCTTAGGTGCCCCTAACCCCTAAGCCCTAAACCCTTTAGGGGGTTGTAGACCTTAGGAGATTGAGGGCGTTTTGATTGGCTTCAGGCTTCGGCAGTGTTGGTGGACTTGGGTTTTGGATTGGGGGGGATTTGGGAAGTTGAAGGGCTATTGCAATAGGAGTCTTGGAGGACTTACCGCTGTAGGTTTAAGCTCTGGGGAGTTGGGGGTTTAGGATCCTGTGGACTTTTTAGGACTCCAGGATTTAGAGGTTGGGGGTCGTAGGGTCTCGATGTTTAAGGGTGTTGGACTATGAGTGTCCAGGGTTGAAACTGGTACCGTTCTTCCATGCCTGTTCCAAAGCTCGATAGAAAGCCTCCGTGCATGTGGGAGGAGGAGAAGCAGCAGAAGGCAGCCCTGTCCAAGGACAGGGTTTGGAGAGTAAGCGGGTAGGGGGTTCAACGTTTCAACATCTTCCTCCTTGGCCTATGGAAAACAGTCATGGATCTGAACCGTATATAATCTCTGGGCCATCCTCCAAAGTGCAAGACCCCAACCCTAAACCCTAAATCCCCGAATGAATCCCGAATCATTTGCACTGTAGCCTCGAATACTCGAATACCTTCACCAACCTCTAGACTCTAGCAGGCCTTATGCAGACATTCTACCTTCGTAGGTCGCGTAGCATGCATTACTGAGTGGCGCTTTGCAATGGTTACTAAGATCCCTTCTGGCTTCATATGGCAACATTTTCACAATAATTCACCTAGACCTAGACTAGCTGGTAGCTTCCCAAAATATGAGACCATTATATTAGACGCCAAAGTACTATAATCCTCATTATGGGGACCCCCCAAAAAGGTACCCCTGATTTTGGGAAACCCCCACCTTTGAAGGGATACAGCAGGGCCTGCCTGGAGGAATTGGACCAGCAGAAGGATGCCCTACGGCTCTGCCAAGAGGACATGGCCGGGTTTTTTGGTTTCCAGAAATAGGCGTCAGATGAGCATTATTCCAACTTCCTTAGAGGTGGTTATATGAGGGAATATATAGGATTAGGGGGGACTTTAGACTATAGGGGTCAGGTGGGGTATATGGGCTTCAGAATGGGGAACAGGGAGAGTAGGGCTACGAGGACAATGTAGGCTGCGAACTTGGAACCAAGATGCCCCTGTTTTCCTCGAGCTCCTCTTCGTATAGTCCCTGAACTATCATCATGCACAGCAGTCCCTGAGAGAAAAATCAACTCTATCACCCCTAAACCCTTTAGGCCTTGTACGCCGTAAACTCCCCGACTCTAAATCGGAAACTCCCCAACCCTGAACCCTCGAACCCTAAACTCCCCAACCCTAAGCCCTAAACTCCCCCAACCCTCAACCCTAAACCCCTTTAAACCGGATCTCTGAGTGGCTGGCCAGGAGCGCCAGGATGCCTCACAGAAGGAGGCCCAGGGATGGGCTCTCAGAAGCAACACCATTGGTAGAATCAGGGAATGTATTTTTTCTAGGGATAAAATGGGGATGAGCTAGGATTCTACGGGGATCTCTTTAAGGATTATATAGGGATTGTATAGGGATTCTATATAGTAGGGATTATATATTCCCGTATTCCCTACTAAGCCCCAATCCCGTTCTCCGAAAAATGAATCTACCAGTGGTTTAGGGTTTGGTTTTTAGGAAATATGTCTCCCAATACCTCCCAATAGAATAGTACAAGGGTGTTTCTTTTTAATTATGAGGGGGGGTGGGGGGTTCCCTGGCCCAGAAGCATGAGAAATCCAGAAGCTACCGTTACCATCACGTTTTTCGAATCAGATGAGTCCTTTTGGGGTAGTATATTATATACTCCCTTGCCAAAAACCCACAACAAACCTCGAAAGGAACTACAAACGAACCCTTGGGTATGTATACGTTGTTCACCCGTTTTCCATTGGAACCCTAAATTCTAAACCCTAATGTGGACGCCTGATTACTAAACCCCCTCCCCTTAAAAGGGGGTAGAATAGGGATCCTATTTTCTAAGGCCCTTATACGGAGGGGGTTACTTAATCAGGGGTCTAGGTTAAAAACTCATCCAACCTTGACGAGGAGAGCCAGAAGGCTTCGCAGGCCAAGCTGGAGTCGGCCAAGGCGGAAGCCGAAGGCTTGCAGGCGGAGAATCTGAAGCTAAAGGAGACGGCGGAGGCCCGTCCTTGATACGAAAAAGGGAGTTGCTGTTGGGGCACTGGGGCCTCTCAGTGCCCTAATATTGAAGTCCCCCCACCCATATCAATACTCCCAAAATATCATAACATACCACAATGGAGAGTATTTAATATTAGGGGGGGCGGGGGGGTTGATATTAGGGGGAGGGGATTAGTTTCTTGCTCTCAGGCTGCCGCAACAGAAGCTGAAGATCTGAGGAAGAAGCTCGCCGCCTCAGCGGCCAACTTGAAGCAAGTCACAGCAGAGGCAGAGAAGCTGCAAGCTGCCTCTAAAACCGCCGCGGAATCCGCCGAGGGCCTCAAGGAACTGCAGGCCCGCAGCTAGCAGAGGGCAGCCTCTGAAGGTACAAACTTGAGCAACTCACGATTAGGCCAACGCCTTGAAGGCTGTATAGTCTAGTTGGATTATGGAGCCTCTCGTGGGAGCCGCCATATGAAATCAGGCGCCACAAGAGCCTGTGGGTCTAGTTCGGCACGAAGCACCAGCAGATACCATCGGTTTAATCAGTGGCGATCATGATCCGCAAGATTCTTCCTTTTGGGTGGTGGTGGGTGATGGGTTTTATTATAATAGTGTATACCTTTGGAGGCACTGATGATCATTATCTGAGTCACAAGCTTCAGGCCCAGCTGAAGGAGATGGAGGTGAAGTACCAGCAGCAGACCAAGAAACTTCAAGCAGAGTGGGAAGGCAAAATGGCTGAGGCCAGCAAGAACAAGGACCGCCGTTCAAATAAATCACCATGCCATACCTCTTAAGAGAATGATGCGGGAGACAGTTTGGGCACAAAGCTGCCTGAGCTCGTCTATATAAAGTGTGACCAAAAGTATCGCATTATCCGGATCCTACCCCCGTCTACTGATGGACATGCGGCAAGGTGTTCTCGCATCTGATACTCTAATCGAAGGCTGTTCTATGCCCCTCGAGATGCTCATGATGCTGGCCCGGCTGCGCTTTCCACCCAACATCTGCACTTTCCACCCGAAGATCTGGCGAGCTGATGCTCATGATGCTGGCCCGGCTGCGCTTTCTTGAGCTGATGCTCATGATGCTGGCTCCGTTGAGCTTTGAACGCAAAAGGCTGTGCTTTCCACACCAGGAATTGTCGAGGTAATGCTCATGATGCTGGCCCAGCTGCGCTTTCCACCGTCGAGCTGATGCTCATGATGCTGGCCCGGTTTTGCTGTGCACCAAAAAAAGTATCGAGCTGATGCTTAGGATGCTGGCCCGGTTTTTGCTTTGCACCCAAAGAAGTTGCTGGCCCGGCTGAATTTTCCACCCCCAGAAGTTTCGAGCGGATGCTCATGATGCTGGCCCGGCTGCGCTTTCACCCCAAGACTTGTCGAGCTGTTGCTCATGATGCTGGCCCGGCTGCGCTTTCCACCCCGCAGAAGTGTCGAGCTGATGCTCATGATGCTGGTCGGGCTTTGCTTTCCACCCCCAGAATTATCGAGCTGATGCTCATGATGCTGGCCCGGCTTTGCTTTCCACCCACCAGAAGCGTCGAGCTGATGCTCATGATGCTGGTCCGGCTTTGCTTTCCAGCCCCAAGAAGTGTCGAGCTGATGCTCATGATGCTGGCCCGGCTTTGCTTTCCACCCCAAGAAGTGTCGAGCTGATGCTCTTGATGCTGGCCCGCCTATGCTTTCCACCCCCAGAAGTGTCGAGCTGATGCTCATGATGCTGGCCCGGCTGCGCTTTCCAATCCAAATATCGTCGTGCTGATGCTCATGATGCTGGCCCTGCTGCGCTTTCTACCCCAAGATGGTGCTCATGATGCTGGCTCAGCTGCGCTTTCCACCTCAAGCAGTGTCGAGCTGTTGCCCAGGATGCTGGCCCGGCTGCGCTTTCGACCCCCAGAAGTGTCGAGCTGATGCTCATGATGCTGGCCCGGCTGCGCTTTCCACCCCAAGAAGTGCCGAGCTGATGCTCATGATGCTGGCCCGCCTATGCTTTCCACCCCCAAAAGTGTCGAGCTGATGCTCATGATGCTAGCCCGGCTTTGCTTTCCACCCCCAGAAGTGTCGAGCTGATGCTCATGATGTTGGCCTGGCTTTGCTTTTCACCCCCAGAAGTGTCGAGCAGATGCTCATGAT